GTCACCGAGCATCTGGAGTCTTCCCTGCTCAGCGGCTCGTACCTCCCGCTTGCGCCAGTCGATATCGTACCGTATACCTGGCAGGATTTTCAGCCCGATCTTGCCTCCTTTGCCCCAATCGATGGGCTTGCCGACATGTTTCAGTCGCATCACCTCCCAGATACCAGCTCCCCGACCGACACATATCTGGAGGTGAGGTCCCTGACCAGCTCCACCAGCGACAACAGCTGGACGTTGGTCGATAACCGGCGCTCCATGGACCCCTACCATGATCAAAATGTTTTCATCAACCCTAATCAGACCCTACACAACCGGAGCCTTTCTGAATCGTCGTATTCTGATCTGGATCATAATCCAAGGAGTTCTTTTGGAAGTTTTGTGGAGGTCTCGCATGCCATGCACTCGCCAAGTTCCTCCGAATCCACCCTAGAATCAGAGTACAACGCGTCGTTTCAGCGAAGGGTATCGTCGGATCTCGCATCCCATGCTTCTTCATCGCCGCCGACCGCCGTTAGCCCTGTTACCATGACTCGACCGATACCCATGCTCGTCAAGAAGTCAGGAGCCACATCGTTATCTCGGTCGCCAAAACAGGCCGCTGGCTCTCCACCTAGCCGAAAACCATCCCGCAAAAGCCCGATCGCCGCGAAGAATGCAGACACAAAGGTTCGGAAACAGACTGATCCGAACAAACCTGAGAAAGAAAAGCGTGTTGGCAAGCGGAAAGGTCCCTTGAAGCCGGATCAAAGAAAACAAGCAAGTGAGATAAGGAAACTGAGAGCGTGTCTTCGATGCAAATTCCTGAAGAAAACAGTAAGGCCCCTCCGTTTTGATACATTATGAACACTTATTGACACGTTTTATTTGTAGTGCGACAAGGGTGAGCCATGTGCAGGGTGCAAGCCATCCCATGCGAGACTCTGGCAGGTTCCGTGCACGCGTATTGATATCAAAGAGATCGGCTACTTTATGAAGGACTGGAAGGCCGACTACGAGCGCCATGTGACCCTTGGCTTCTCTGTCGGTAACATCACAGGGTTTTCTGATGTCGAGCGAACCTTGTTCATCACACACGGCTATGGACAGGTTCTTCCCGTCAAGGCGCGAGAGGTTTATGTCCGCGACGAAGAATGCTTCAACGTCGACTGGGTGGAGTCTTTGCAGCGGAATCCAAGCAGCTTCGAGCTGAAGACCTCGAAACTTTCTGCTGGAATGGAAGGAATATCCACTGCGATACTCTCGGATTACCTTGACAGACATATCGATGGCAACGGTAGCTTCGAGAGATTTGTCGATGATTACTTTGGCGGAACGCCTTTCCTAACACAGATGCTCAAGACTGCATTCCGGTTTTACTTCCGTACCAAGATGCCAGTTATCCGTAAGGCTCTTAAGCTCATTCTAGCGTACAATCTCACCTTGCATGTTACTATGGTGGAAGGTCTCGGTGAACTGGAGGACTTTGTTGGGAAGGTTGAAGACGAGACATCGATGTATAATGGCAAGGTCATGGCTCCCGTCATGATCAATTTCCAAATAAAGTGCGCTATGGCCAATATGTGGCGCGACCTGCAAAAGGACGTTCTGGAAGAGCTGTCTGCCTTGTACTCCAGCGTCTACAGCGGAGAGAAGCTTAAGAATTGGCCCACGATTTTCATCCTTGCTTCGATATTATTAGCAGTGTGGGAGGAGATGCAGTTCGACTGCCATTATCGTGTTCCGGTAAGTTCCCTTGCTTTTTATCCCAATCGAGAGTTCACGGGTAAACTGACTTACGACGATGCAGGATCCTGTTGCTGTGAACAAGTTTTGCACGGATATGGAAACAACACCCGTCGGAGTTATTGTTGGCCTCTTCCAAGCGATCTCCCAGAAGCTACCTGCGTTCACAGACTGGAATTCACAAGAGCACCATCATCTCCTTAATTCCAATCCCGATGTCTGCGACGCTATGACCGAAGTCCGGGAACACGTTCGCCAGCACGGTAAGTTATAACTCCATGACCTTTCTTTTCTCTGACTGAAACTTGTTTCTGAACCGTTTGTCCAGAATCTTACCTCCGGACCCGTTCCAACTCTATGTTTGACCGTAATGACTTTGACTGTCTTTCAAATAAATTCCTGTCTAGACTCGTGTTGCGCTCGAATCAAGCAACTCGAGAAGTTGTTCATGCCATGTAATACCAGAGTCCCAATACGTGAAAATATGTCGTCAACGCCACCTAATTTGACAAGAAAGAAGAAAAAATAAAAGAACGAACAGCAAAGCGCATAATGACTTGGCTACAACACATGGCCGATAATGACACGAATACACTGATATTACTTCAACGATGTGAAACGAGGAAACGACAATGCTTTTGTCCAAGTTTGGTTGACTAATCCAACTATCGTCGCTCTTTTTTATATCTTTTCGTTTTTCTCTTTACTTTGGTATGGCGAGTTTCCCGAGCCGGGATATACCTCTTTTTGTCGTTATGTACTTTGATGTTTTGTTCTTGTTTTGTTCTGGGGAACAAAATGATAACGAGGACCACGAATCTTATGACCACGACATCTGTAACAGTCTGTGATCGAGCAAATAAAACATACACGCTTGGGAGCTTCTCAATGCCGCGAGCCCTCAGAGAAGATGGGTTTAAAACCGGTTTCGTTTCGAATATCCTTCGAGAAACCCAGCCCCATGTTGTTTACCGTTTTGATTTTTTTTTTTTTTTTTTTTGCTTTCTCATGGGACTGCTTCGGTCAGCGACATGACGCAGGCTTTTCCTTCTTTCGTTTTTGGCTTTCCCCTTTTTACTCGTTACATCAATAGCATGTGGGCATTGCATCGATCATGATACACACGCATCACTTGTTCACCCTGGCAGGCAATTTATCCGCTCCAGCAAATCGATTCGATCATCTGCATTTTTTTCTTTCCTTCTTTCTTTCTTGCACCGCACACTTTTGTTTGGTGGCCATATGCATTCAAGATGAAAGACGCGCGAGCGAGCAGAGGGGAACCGACCCGCATTTACACCGGTGATCACCACCCTCGCCTTGATGCTTATCTATGCCTGTTGCCTGTGCCAATTTTATTTCGGTGGCTTGAGCTTGTCGACCTCTATGGGGTCGAGCTATTTTCTTTGTTTTTATTACATTGGATCGGTCGGTGTGTGTATGCGTGCGTGGGTGTGTTGGGTGTGTGTGAGAGAGGCGCAGGGTTTAGGTATGGGTTTGAGGCGAGGACGAAAATACTCGGGGCGATCGATTTCATTTGGGGTTTTGTGCTCGAATATTCTTATGTAGGGCTAAGTATACCAGAAATGAGAATATATTCAATGATAATTCTGAGATTCTCTATCATTGGACTGTTTTACCAACGAATGGCTGTGTATATGCTGTACCTTGAAGCTTTAAAACACATGCAGACAGTGTCATGACGATAATTGCCATCGTCTTCATATATTGCTATCGACAGTATACCCTGGGTACATCAATCACACAACTGGTCTGCAATAGTACCGTTATAGGAATTCTGTTTGAAAAATTATAAGTGGCCGTACTTTGAGGAGTTGGGCTTGAGACAAGTTGCATGGTCCAATGGCTCCAACCAAGTTAAAAAGTCCCACAGTAAATATATCGGCTGGTGTGAGAGAGAACTACAATCACCGGTCCGCACAACAACAATGTTGACCCGAGCTCGACGTATCTAGCGAGCTATCACCAGATAGCTTTGGTTAGCCAATGTTGCATTTTTCGGCACTTAAAAGTGCCGCTGATTGAATCAAAGTGACCTAGCAATCAACTGTAACCATGGGTTAATATGTAGGTCCGCCGAAATTTCCCAATTCCCCGTGTTGATGCTGGCTTCTCTTGTGCATATAGAATTCGAGACCCTTCTGCCTCTGGCTATTGTATGTCTCATGTTTTTAGGTAGATGCAATGGCACTGTCCTAATGGCCATGATCCATACTACCAGATATCTGGTTGCAATATCCAGGCCCGGCTGCACAGATAGACTCCATGCGGGGATTGCTACAACCAATCTTAAGGAGCCCGCTTTCATCATCTGGAGAAACTCGATGCTGGATTGAAGGGAATGCTGGCTTGCCATACGAAAGAAAGCGTAAGGCCTTTGCCGAGTACCGATTTTGTAGAGGATTGCTCTCTAGGACGCTTCAACGGTTCTTCAAAAGGACAAAACAGGTCCCTGGCATCATTGTGCATTATACCAGAGCTTCATATAAGGGTATTCATCACGTTGAGGGCGTAGTTGGCAACATCTATGGCATTGAAACCGAAATGACTCGCCCTCAAAGGTTTCCATTCTGCGACCTGAGTCATCATGGAATAGCCAAAGGGTCTGGAGAGAAGAGTAGTACAAAAATCCGCCAAGAAGCTACATCCTCTTTGAGCGATTTGATTAAATGCACAACTGGCCACAGGATAAGCAAGCGGTGACTTTTAAGGTCAGTAGTCGCAAGAGGTGGCGTAGCGCTTGGAATCGAAGAACCGGGTTTTCTCCGTTATTCTCGCTCGTCGGTGAGCAGCACAGAGAACCTTTTATAGAGCAACAGCGAAAGAATCGGTTATGAGCGTTGATGGATTCCAGGCAGCGATCAAGAGAAAACAGACGGCGAGCTGAAGCTGAAGCTGGCTGCGAGTGACGTCGTCAAGTGAGCCAGCATGAGGTGGAGAGGAACTACGTAGTTCCGGAGATTGCACGGATTTTGTATTGGATATGTAATTTACAACATCGATGGTTCTGGAGGGTTCCACAATTCACCTTGTGAGGCAAGTGGGTCCAGGGCGGCGGCGCGCCTATCGGCAGATGATTGGCAGGATATAATACCACTTGTGCGAAAGGAGCCGCTGAAACCGTAGGCAGCTGCGGCAGGGAGTGACTGACTAACCTTGGCGGCTTCGCCTCCCCTCACTTCCACCCCCAATTGTCGCCGCCGGCCTACTTAAACCTCCGCCTTCTCTCCCCCTCTGCCTCTCCTCACCATTCTCTTCATCCTTCTTCCTCTCCTCATCCTGCCGTCCTGCTCGTCGAGCATTTCTTCATCACAGCCTTTGCCATATCACTTCACGTCACTTTTTGTTGAAGAATACATACGTATATAGACCTTCCCGTCTGCCATCATGCAGATCTTCGTCAAGACTCTGACCGGCAAGACCATCACCCTTGAGGTGGAGTCTAGCGATACCATCGACAATGTCAAGACAAAGATTCAGGACAAGGAGGGCATCCCTCCCGACCAGCAGCGCTTGATCTTCGCTGGTAAACAGCTTGAAGATGGCCGCACCCTCTCAGACTACAATATCCAGAAGGAATCAACCCTTCACTTGGTGCTTCGCCTCCGTGGCGGTATGCAAATCTGTAAGTTAAAACCCCACTAGGAGATCTCTTTCGCTTGTATATCGTTGACTCTAACACTCTTTAATCAGTCGTCAAGACCCTCACCGGGAAGACCATCACTCTCGAGGTTGAATCTTCCGACACCATCGATAATGTGAAAACTAAGATTCAGGATAAGGAGGGCATTCCCCCAGATCAGCAACGTTTGATCTTTGCTGGAAAGCAGCTCGAGGACGGCCGTACTCTCTCCGACTATAATATCCAGAAGGAGTCTACTCTCCACCTTGTCCTTCGCCTCCGTGGTGGTATGCAGATTTTCGTGAAAACATTGACCGGAAAGACTATTACGCTAGAAGTTGAATCCTCCGACACGATTGACAACGTGAAAACAAAAATTCAAGACAAAGAGGGAATTCCACCAGATCAGCAACGTCTAATTTTTGCCGGTAAACAGCTTGAGGATGGTCGAACGCTCTCGGATTACAATATTCAAAAGGAATCTACCCTACATCTCGTCCTTCGCCTGCGTGGTGGTATGCAAATCTTCGTGAAGACATTAACCGGCAAGACTATCACCTTAGAAGTCGAGTCGTCGGACACCATTGATAACGTAAAGACCAAGATCCAAGATAAAGAGGGTATTCCACCCGATCAGCAGCGACTGATCTTTGCTGGAAAACAACTCGAAGACGGACGGACGCTTTCCGACTATAACATCCAAAAGGAAAGCACCCTGCATTTGGTTTTGAGATTGCGTGGTGGTAATTAGGCGTATCTATCTTTTATTTCGAAGGGTCGGCGCTTTCTTTTCTTACCTAGGGGCATTCAAACCGGTATGGCGTTTCGGTAATACACCCATGTCGGTGATTAAACCACCTTGCATTTTCATGGTCGCAATGACGTTCATTTTGATAACTACGACTCAATATGATTGATATTTCGGACCCTACTTTTGTGCACTAACGGTTATCTTTCATGTAATATCGCCACATCATGGCTTCAACGCCATCTTGGGCCACGTGTGAAGCAAAATTCTCAGGTGACTGTTATCAAGCCCTCTATTCAAGTAGTTCTTCAATGTTTCATATTCCGTAAGTAGTTGGCCGGCGAAAGCCGGTTTGATGACGTAAGAAGTGAGGGCTGGCCGATAAGATCACGTGGACAACCAGTTGATAAAGCTCGCTGCTTTTGCATCCGACATCGAAGCTCAATGAGTAGGCCGACGACATGACAGACAGGCGATATGCCCTCCTATTTTTATCGCATTTGCCTGGAACTTTTCTGTGAGAATTCTTCAAGTAACTTGCTTACGGTTGAGGCCATTTGCGAGTCTTTGAATCCCTTCTCCAGAAAGCAACTCAACTCCAAAAAAAGCGCCCCAAATAACAGGTCAGCTCCAACCAGGATTAACCAGAACTTAAAAAGTAGTGAGTTGTATCCAGCAAAAGACTACAACAGCTCAGTCACAAACGCTCCCCGTCAATGTCTACCTGCAGGGGAACCTTCCCGCTCCCACAATTATCTGCAGCGAGTCGAACACGCGCCAGTGAACTATTCTACATCTGGCGGCAAAGAAACATCTCCTGCTTCTCCCTTCCTTACGTCTCTAGCGCGCCAGACTTGTGATAGACGCGTCGATACCATATCTGTTGAAGGCATCGATATGGTTCTAGAGAAGGCTCACCTGCCTGATCGAAGCAGTGGCCCCGACAACAATCAGATAGCCAAAGGGATTGGGTCAAGGGCAATTGGAGGTCTCGCTACAAAAGGGAAATATGTACCTCTTGATCACAAGGTCCCCAATAGTGTGTGGGGTATCGTTCACCTATATCGCGATGGGGACCCTTCTCCAGAGCTCTGCGGTAACGATGATGACCCTTATTTTCTCAAAGGATCTTCGGTAGCGCGGAACACGAGCGTGTCGTCTCCAAGAATCAAAAAGAGCCAAGGGAGTACCTTTGGGGATGAAAGTTCAGATCCATCTCTGTCAGCAGAGGATTGCACTACTTTGTGTATTCTAGCCGTTCCTTCGTACATGTCACCGCCGGATTTCATAGGTTGGGTTGGGCAAGAAACAAAGAGCGAAGTCAGTCATTTCCGGATGATTCGAACAGAAAGACGGAATCGATATATGGTGTTAATGAAATTTCGAAGTGGACGCAAGGCGAGGGAGTGGCAGAAGGATTGGAATGGTAAGGTATTCAATAGCACAGAGGTAGGTTCCATCTATAGATATTACAGCCGCTGCCAAAGGAGAGAATTTAAATAGTTTCGCTAACACCTGGACTCATTAACAGCCCGAAACGTGCCACGTTGTATTTGTAAAAGATGTCGAGATCCAGACTCCCACAACGTCACCCGAAGGCCGATTCCCAGACACGAACCACGACCCCTTCACCCCTCAGGCCTATGCCAGCACCGTAGCGACCGCCTCTTTATCTATAAAACCCCTTGCTCCGCCTACGCCGTCGCTAATTGAGCTGCCAACATGCCCTGTTTGTCTTGAGCGCATGGATGAAACTAGCGGGCTCCTTACAATTATCTGCCAACACGTATTCCATTGCACCTGTCTCCAGAAATGGAAAGGTAGCGGTTGTCCTGTGTGCCGATATACACAAGAAGACTTAGGAAAGCGTGCCTTCAATTTTGGCCTTGACGAAGGACCGGCAGAATGTAGCGTGTGTCATGCTGAGGAGAACCTGTGGATTTGTTTGATATGTGGTAATATCGGATGTGGAAGATACGATGGTGCACATGCGTTCGCTCACTTTCAGGAGACTTCTCATTCTTTTGCCATGGACTTGTCATCACAACGGGTCTGGGACTACGTTGGAGATGGTTATGTCCATCGAATCATTCAAAATAAGGCCGATGGAAAACTCTTGGAATTGCCTGCCGCTGACAACAGTGCCCTTGATCCGCCAGACTGGGCCGATGCTGTTCCCCGAGAAAAATGGGAGAATATGAGTGTGGAGTATACCCATCTCCTTACGAGCCAACTTGAAAGCCAGCGTACATATTTCGAAGAGAAAGTTGAACGCGCTGCGGATAAAGCATCACAGGCTAGCGCGGCCGCCCTTGCGGCGCAAGAAGCTGCCGAAAAATTGGCCAAACGCTTAGAGGCGTTACAATGTGACCACGACGCCCTTGTAAAGGAGACGGTCCCGGTTCTAGAAAAGGAGAAAGACCGAGCTGAACGACGCGCAGACAAGTTTGAGTCTTTGGCTCGCAAGATGGAGAAAGAATATCGGGAGGAGAAGACGATCAATACCAGCTTAATGGAACGGGTGGATTACTTGACCGCCGAAGTCGAGAAACTCAAGGCAGCCAACGAGGACCTCGCTGAGCAGAATCGTGACCTCACATTTTTCATCAGTGGATCGGAAAAGCTAAAGGATCAGGGGGAGGATGTTGTCGAAGGCACGGTTAGCGTACCGGAGCCGTCGAAGGCTGGAAAGAAAAAGAAAGGAAAAGGGAAGAAGTGAGATTTACGCAAAGTGAAGACGAATTTTTGTGAGGTCTAGCGAGAGACGACCATCCAGCATTGGCTGGACACTGCATATGACCGCCAAAGCCCGACTGGCTGGAAGGACTATGATAGTCGTCTCGAGCGGTCCATCACCCTCAATCTGACCCATTTATGCCTGCGACGGAACGTCGACGGGAACGTTAACTGGGCCAATCGGGAAACGGCCCAGTTCGTACGTGCAGCCAGCAATCTCGCACGTGAGCCAATTCCGTTTTAGGTAGCTAAACCTCCCTTCCTGCATGTCCTCCGTATTGCGGGAGGAAAAAAATACATACACATCATCTGCTTACGATGATCCGAGAGTTGAATGGCCAAAGTAATCGAAATATCCATATGGAGTGTTCGAGGCCTTACACTGCATGCGTGCAAAATCCACTGTAGAACCAGGACGTCCAACCTAAACCCAAGAAGCTCGTAAACAAGCTTCAAGCTAGAGATCACCCTCGAAGAAGTGTGAGTCGTACGGATGGAACGGTGTTTTCTGTAGAATTGTGGGGTCGACCCTGCACAGTATGGTTTCTATCACACCAACCGTCCCTTGCGCAGAAGAATCTCTTTGTTTCACTCAGCGCCAATCAGTCGACCACATGGGAAAGCATCGCATGAAAAAAAAGCGAGATCGGGACTGTTGAGCTACATTTATGCTGCGAGCTGCGCCGATTTTCGGTGGCAATCCCGACGGGCGGGAGCGGAGGTGGCGTTGGGTCGGGAAAGAAAATCGGAGAAAAAACATACAAATTTCCCTTCGTTAGGGAGTACATCGCAGGGAGTTGAGCCACCACCATCGAGAGAGATAGTGGTTTTGAAGACAGCGTCCGGAGTATGCTTCTCTACTTTTAGCCACGGATTTTCTGAGGCTGATCGAGTGCTCCGCAAACACTCTTTGGGATTGCATACATACATGCATTGGTACCTACCTTAGTGGCTTGGTCCGCGGAGACTGCCTTGACTTTCCAACTCCGCACCCGCTCGCCAGTTTTGGAATAGAGTTCCGACTAGCTCTGCTTCTCATTGGCGTTTCAAAGGAGCGGGCGCTATGACCGGCTGCAATTACAACGTAACGCATGGCAAGGGGGCACGTGGGCGGAACCTTGACGGACGGACGAGAGCCACCATTTGTTGAATTTGGAGAACTGCGTCCTGGGATGAAACAAATTGAGGTCATTGTTAAACCGATTCACCCGCTAGCTGCCCAATTGAGGCACTGGGCTCACGCTTCACATTGCTTGAGATTCTTAGCACCTGCATGGTGTTCTCGGGGATGGTGGAAGACGTGGGAAGGAGCCGAAATAGTTTGGAAGACATGGCTTGTACGGAGTACAGAGTACGTAGCACATAGATCACTCCGGAATGTTATTTCCTACGTAACTACGGAGCACGGAGTGCTCCGTACAATACGTTCCTTCGCCATTGTAGCGTGTTGAGGCTTTTTGCCTGCCGACCTCGTGGGAAGGCCCGGAATTCGCCAAGAATTCCCGCCAAGCCTTCCGCTGTGTGGCGACGGCCGAGACTTCTCCTCCCCATGCCCGTCAGCCTTTTCATGACGTTGCCCTGCACTCCACTCCGCGACCTGATTGGGCGGCATTACCGGAGTGGGTCTGAGGGCGGTGATCAGCAAGCGGGGCCATCACGTGGTTGATAAGTAATCAGCCAATGGGGAGCGGGCCTCGGAGGAAAGGCGGAACTAACGGAGCGAGGTGGGAGTGCCAAGATATTTCCGAAAGCGGTGGAATTCCAAGGTGCATGGGAGGCCTGTTCAAACAATCGAAATGTGGGTGGTGAGACCAACGAAGTATCTGGAAATTTCATTGAAGAAGGATAAAGAGCTGGCGAGAATACTAGGGAGAGGTAGAATGGATTTTACAAACACCGGGTTGGCAGGAGAAACGGGACGACCGAGGCGGACCTTCAAAGAACATTCCAATCAGGATATCTTTTATACGTTATAAGGTTCCTAACAGCCAAGGGTCGCAGGTGTTCCAAAATTCACGCAGGTTTCTCCCAACGAATAAACATTGGCAAAACCTTATTGATCATAAGCGGCGCCATGGGTGGCCAACCCGAGTGCCTGCAAGGACAAAGGATGGTGGCCCTTTTTTTGGCCGGTGGGAAGGTGATGGCGTTCTTGGCTAACTCTTGGGCCGAGCGTTTGGGACGGACCAAGACAAAAATGATGGAATATTTTGTCTAGGAAAAATCTCAAACGATGCGGAGAGTGGTTAATTTATATATCCCAGGTACCTCCCCGTTGAAACCTTGACTCATTTGTTTCCCAGATCAGTCCACCTCGGCACATATTCTGCCTCAAGCGTTCTCTGATAAGAGAGTTGGCATATTCCGTATCCTTTTTCTTTTTCCTGACGATAACTCAACCAAGTCCTTCTCCATAGGACGGTATAGCGAGAGCTCGGGTTCTTCGTCCATAGACATTCCGTTTTGGATGATAGGTGGCGAACGCATTACCGTCCCGCGTCGCTATTTTGAGACCTGAGTCACCTGTTTTGCGCCCAATACCACTCGAATGGGTGTATTAACCCCCTATCCTTCGGCTCAACGGAAACTGCATAACCCTTTTCCTCCCCTTGGACCATTCTTTCCATCATCTTCGTCTTCCTACGGATAAGGACACTCGCTGGCTCGGCGAACGTTCTTTCCTACCATTCCACCTAAACTCCCAAGGAAACTTACTCCTGACACTGATATAAATCCGACTGCCGAGAGAATCAAATAACACGACTAGACTGGGCCTGAGTTTCGTTATGCCTTCCCGGAGCAACGATGGCTCAGCAAAACAGGAGTATGAGCGACACCCGTTTCTGCTTCCTGTCGATATCCTTGTTCAATATCTGCAGACAAACCTTGAAACCGGTCTGACTGGCGATGCAAAGATTCAAGGACTTCAACAGAAATATGGCCCGAATCGCTTGCTGGGCGAAGGGGGCGTCAAATGGTACACCCTGCTTGGAAAGCAGGTTTCAAATGCAATGATATTAGTAAGTTCGACCCACTAGTATTCCATGCAGTTTAATTCCAATTTTCAAATACCGTCCAGTCACAGTTTGTTTTCTTTTGGTGAGGCTCGAAGCAATCTTCCCTCTGTGATGTTTATCCCTCGCCTTCTCTAGTTCAGAGGGCTTTTTAAGGCGAGGGAATGTAGCATGGCAGATAGATTCAGTGCAATGGAGACGCACATTATAGCGAATTCTGAACGAGGCTCCCAGACCACAAGGGGCTCCCGTTTAGACTGTATACAGTTCTGTTTCTATTCTCTGTTATCATATCCTTGGAAACAGTTGTAGTAACTTTGCGACGGAAATAGGTCCTCGTCCTCGCAATGGCCCTCGCCTACGGCGTTTCAGACTATGTCGAAGGAGGAGTTATCACTGCCGTCATCGTGGCGAACGTGGTTATTGGCTTTTATCAAGAATTTCAGGCGGAGAAGAAAATGGACTCCCTCCGCTCTCTCTCTTCTCCCTCCGCAACCGTAATCAGAAATGGTCATGAAATCACTATTCCATCCGGAGACGTTGTTCCCGGAGACATCGTTCAAATTAAAATGGGGGACACCGTTCCCGCCGATATTCGTCTCTTCGAAGCCATGAATCTAGAATGTGATGAGAAGATTTTAACCGGAGAAGCCATTCCAGTCGCAAAGGACGTCGACTTTAGCACTAGCGGCGATGAAGTCACAACCGGTGTCGGTGATCGTTTAAATATGGCTTACTCCTCTTCGACGGTCACAAAGGGGAGAGGTCGCGGAATTATTGTCTTCACTGGAATGAACACCGAAATCGGTAAAATTGCCCAGTCTATGCAGGGAAAGCGTCGCAAACCCGGTCGCTCAATGTCTCGGAAAAAGTATGGCACTTTTCAGCCAGTGAAAGGAGGCGCCTTGCGTATCTGGGATGGAATCGGCAAGTTTCTTGGCCTTACTGAAGGCACTCCGCTGCAGATCAAATTAAGCAAGCTGGCCTACTCACTCTTCGGGTGTGCTATTTTGCTCGCTATCATCGTGTTTGGCGTTAACGAGTTTGACGTGACGAACGAAGTTGCAATCTATGCCATTTCCACAGGTGAGTAGCCCGGTAATATGGATTGATTGTGCTCTAGCTAACTATCAAGGCATTGCTATTATCCCTGAGTCGTTAATCGCTGTCTTAACAATCACGATGGTTGTTGGTATGACACAGATGAGGAAACGAAGAGTCGTAGTGCGTCAACTCAGTGCCCTAGAAGCTCTGGGCGGAGTGACGAATATTTGCTCTGACAAGACGGGAACTTTAACCCAAGGGCAAATGGTTACTCGAAAAGCCTGGATTCCGGGTGTCGGAATGTACACGGTGCATAAGTCGAATGATGCCAACAACCCGACTCGCGGAACCATCAGTATCAGCGAACCACCTGCATCAAAGCAGGAGGCCGAAGCAGAGCAAGAGCGCAAACGCACTGAGCAGGACCGTCTTCGTAGTACTGCGGGTCTAAAGTTTAACGTTCCTCCGGAGAAAGAGGAGCGGGATAAACGGAAACAGGATGAGATGCGCAACGAAAAGAATGGCACGAGCGATGAAGATGACGATGAGAAGGCGGCTAGCATTCCCGACGTTGTTCCTGAGTTACAAGCGTTTCTAGAATCGGCAGCATTATGCAACTTGGCTAGCCTTCGTTTTGATAAAGAATCGAATCAATGGCAAACGATGGGCGATCCGACGGAGATTGCGCTGCAAGTGTTTGCGCATCGATTCACGTTTGGAAAACCAACTCTTGAGAAGGAGAAAGGCTGGAAGCAACTGGCTGAATACCCCTTCGACAGCAGTGTGAAACGGATGTCTGTCATCTACCGATGTGGTGACGGTCCAGAAACAGTAATTTTTACCAAAGGAGCCGTTGAGAGAATCTTGGACCTTTGCACCTCCGTCGGAATTGGTGAATACGAAGAGCCCATGGATGCTACGACCA